TATGTAAACATCACATTGTCTCCCTGGTGAAAAAGTGAAGAGTAAATAAAGTCTAAAAGGTACAATAGATATTGTGAAATGGGAAGAAATTGTTTCAAAAGAAAAAAGGAACTAGGATGGGTGTTATGGTTTGTGTCTGGGTGTTCCCCAAAAGCCTCAAGTACTCATGGGGTGGGCTGTTAGAGTTTATGACTGATCCATGGTCCAAAACTGGGATTACAGGTGTGAGAGCTGAACCCGCCCTGGGGTGGATAGTTTGCACAGGTAAGGGAAAGAATGAGGCTGCTTACAGCCACTCCTCCCCTTGTGCTCTTGTTGCTTTTGCTGTCTTCCACAACCATGAACTGTTGCCTTCTGCCATGTGCTTCTCTGCCTTGGAGGCAGCCAAGTATTGACTGAAACCTCCACAAACTGTGAGCTAAATAAACCTTTCCTTCCTTAATTTTGGGCGTCAGGTCTTTTGCCTCAACAACAAGAGAAAAGTTAACCAAGACAGATGGGTGAAAGGAGAAAGGACAGTAGGGAAAAGGGAAAAAATGCAAGTCAGTTATACTATTAGTACCTTTTAGTTTATTAAAAAGAAAAGTTTGTGTTAATATTGATTGGAAAAGTTTTTATGCCTATATCTTATACCCTGAGCAACTAATTTAAAGACAACAATATTGAATGTATCAACTATTGTTATTTTGTTATGAAATTTTGTTTTAGCTTTTTTCCATACAAAAAGGCTTAAAATTTTATCCCAATCAGAGACTTATTTTTTCATTCTCTTAACAGTGCAAAGAGCAGAAATATTTAATTCTGATGTAGTCCAATTTGCCACTTTTCTTTTATGGACTGTCCTTCTGTGTCACACCTAAGAAATATTTACCTAACTCATGTTCACAAAGATTTGGAAGTTTTCCTCTAAAAGTTTTGACACTTTAGGTTTAAAATTAGGTTTATGATCCATTTTGAGGAAATTTTTCTACATGGTATGAAATATTTCTGGAAGCCCATTTTTCTCCATCCAGATACCAATGGTGTCAACACTATTTCCTGAAAAGGCTATTTTTGTTCTTTTATTTTTAGTGTGGGAATTGAACTCAAGGCCTTGCACTTGCCAGGCAGGTACTGTGCCACTGAGCTACATCCCCAGGCCGAAAAGGCTATTTTTTTCTTCACTGAAGTGATTTTGCACCTTTATAAGAAATCTATTGCCTCTATGATCTAGTTAAATTTCTGGACTCTATCCTTTTTCATTTATCATTTATCTGTCTTGATGTCAACCCTATAGTGTTATAATTATTGTAGTTTGTAAGTTTTGAAAGAAACTTTGTCCTATTTCTGCAAAGGTGATTTGACTATTCTAAGTGCCCTGATTATCCATATGAATTTTAGAATCAGGTTGTAAGTTTCTACTGAAGAAAAAAAAGGCTGCTGAAATTCTGATTGTATTGAATCTATAGGTCAATTTGTAGAAAAATAACATCTTAACTATTTTGAGAAACTCCTTTGTGTGTTTATCAGTATTCATTTAACTGCGTCTGAAAATCTTTGCATTTTCCTCTGTGCAGCTCTCTCTTTTCTTACACTCTGGTCTGAAAACTCTAGCTGCTTTAGACTTCTTGGACTCTTAGTTCAATCTCTTCAGCTCTGCTTGGGCTGCCCCTACCTTTCCTGGAGCTTGGGAACTCTCTAAAGAAAGGTAGCTTGGGCAGTCACAGGGCCCACCTCTTTAATTTTCAGTCTCTCAGAGATCACTTTCATGTGTGTATGTGTCTGAGACAAGGTCTCACTATGAAGTTTAGGCTGGCCTTGAACTCACTTTGTCGTCTGGGTTGGCCTCCAACTCTCAGTGATCCTCCTGTCTCAGTCTTCCGAGTGCTGGGATTACAGGCATGAGCCACCACGCCTGGCTTGGGATCACTGTCCTTTATTGTTAGATGACCCACGTTTTCAAACTGTCATTTCATATATTTTTCCCATCGTTAAGATTTTGGTAGAATGATTAGTTGGCCCGTTATTCCATCTTTACTAAAGTACAATCTCAATTGTTAATTTTTAATGTCAAATCTGTTCTTGATGCTATAAAATTCAAGTAAAAATGGGACAAGAACATAACTAGTAGTTACTATAATACTGCTCACCATTCATGCATTAGCTCATTTCATTCCACAAATATTTATAGGATCCCATTTAGTCAGTACTGAGCATTAAAGCCAGGTATGTCTCTTGCTCTCACAGAACTTACAATCTAATGGGACAGACAGACATTAATCAAATAATTCTGAACAAAAAAATGTAACACTATAGGTGTCACATTTGTTATGAATGAACAACAGAAAAATGCAATGAGACCTACAAGAGGGTGATTTTGTGGTACTTGTTTATAGAGCCTACATTCATAGATTGCAATTTCATTACTATTTCTTCATGTTAAAGTCATAAAGAACTTGTGTAATGTATGCAGAGAAACTGAAGTAGTCATTAAATAAACTTCTCAATATATGATGTACCGAGTAGTAGGTATGAGACAAGATGCTAAGTGCTTTGGAGCACATAAGAATTATGACACTATTCCTGTGAAACTTGAAATCTAATTCAGTCCATAAAGAACAAAGGAAGAGCAAAGTTATGGATCTATATCCTGCATGAATATACGTAAAAATTTACCAGTTAAACAACATTGTGTATATCCCTGTTAAAAAATTATTTTCTTTTCATCAGCCTAATTGCAAAACTGTGATCACTTCCATTGAGAAAACAATACATTTTTTTTCAAATGAAGTCTTACCTAGATATCTCAGCTTGGGAATTTTTTTCTCCATCAACAGTGAAAGGAGATGCTCCAGTTAGTAACTCATACATCAGAACACCTAAACTCCACCAGTCAACTGCCTATAAAACAATAATAATTTCATTTTGTAGAGTTATCAACTAAAATATACTTTATAAGAAAGAAAAAATATGATAAAACTAAGTATTTAGAAAACATTCTAACAGGTAGATTTTGTACACAGCTTTATATGCAAGGCTACTAAATTAGCACATGATATCCAGGTAGCCTCAGCAGTGACAGGGTTTCAATCATTTCCTAAACTAGTTATAGTTTTTTACCATGATTAATCAAACATTTTAAACTTGAAATAACTTTTTTTCTGCTTTGTTTTTTTGAGACAGGATCTTGCTTTATAGTTCAGGCTGGCCTTGAACTCAGTAAGCAGCCCAAGGTGACCTTGAACTTCTAGCAATCCTCCTGCCTCAGCCTCCCGAGTGCTGGGATCACAGGCTTGAGCCACCACACCTGGCTTAAATTTTTATTAATTTAAGTCGGTAAAAATGCTTGGATTTAGGATAGGGGAAAAAGTATCAATCAGTATTTTTATTAAACATTCGGGTCCAAAGAATCTTATGAAATTCCTTAATTAAAGAAAAAAATTTAAAAATCTCATCCAAGGTTATTGTTTTTATAATTTCCAAAGTCAAATTTGCTTAAAGAACCCAACAAAAATCTGAAAATATTCACTGATGGAAGGGTACATTAACAGAAAATAAAATGTGCTCTAAATTGGAAACTCAGGGACAGGGATATAGCTCAGTGGCACAATGCCTGCCTGGCAAGCGTGAGCTCGTGAATTCGATTCCTGGTACTGAAAAAAAAAATGGAAACCAACTTATTAATGCAGTTGTTTGACCTGAGACCACAGTGAATTATCAATGGCCTTTGAAAATTAGTCTTTTCATAATCAGGCAAATCAGAATTTCAGTAAGTTGAATGTATGAACTCGTACCAATGAGAAATACTAACTGGATGGTAAAATTTTAAATTATTAGCTTCCAAAGTCCAGGACCAAAGTTTCAGAGAAGTAACACAAAATATGAACCTAGGACGGTTTAAAGAAAATGTACAACACGGAACACATAAAATAAGATCAGGCATATTGAAAGCAAGAGAAGAAAAGCATTTATGGAATGCTTCATTCATGTCAGGTATTGTGGTAAGCACTTTGCATTCACCACCTCATTTAACTAACTAAAGTTATCAGGTGTTCTATGTTAGAGAACAAACACTGATTAGCTATATCCTGTATCCTAGGCATGCTGAAATTGTAGTAAGAAATACGTGGTTTTTTTAATGTGAAAATTGGCTTGATGAAGTCTCATAACTGTCAAATTTTAAGAGTTACAAATTCCTACCAAAGTCCCCAATAGCTTCAGAGGATACCATGAACAAACTAAACCCGTAACTCCACTCTACTGTTCATACTTAAGGGTGCTGCTGCATTGAGCCAGAGTGCCCAGAATGCAATGCTGCTGGCGTGAAGCCAAGCTCATCCACCGACACAGACCTGAAGGACAGGCTTATAAATACACGGTTGGTCATCAGAAAGGAGAAAAAGGATACCACCTTCTGCAAGGGGATGAAGGAGAGGAGAAGATGAGGAACAAAAAAAAAAAAAAAAAAAAAAGCCAGAATTTCTTATTTGGAGAAAGTTATTAATATAGGAAAAATGTTAAGACTGAAGAATTGTTTTACCCTTTAATATAATAAGAAAAAAAATCTAGATTTTTATAACATAATTACTTAGAAAGCTTCTTCTATAATCTTCATTTTTCACAAACAAGTGAAGAGGCCCCAAAAATAGAGTTTTTGAGTTTAGAAAAATAGACTATTTCGAATGCAGGGTATTTTTTCTTCTTCCAAGAGTTGTTAAATTTATTTCTGTTGGAGAGAGAGTCAACAAAGCCATCAGTTACCTCCATAAAGTTAAAAGCAGAAAGTGGGAATAAGAAAATGTGAGTGATTTCTTTTCCAAAGATCTCTCAGTGACCCACTAGAGAACAGTATTAACTAAAGACAGTACATATGGCTGTACTGCTGTGTGTTCCAGCAGCATTAACACGTCAATAAAGCACTGTGCAAAATCATTCGTCAAGACTCAGGCACGAACCGTGTATAGTTCTGCGCTCAGTGACACCTCTGTATTGTACTGTGATTCAGTTTGTACCCTAAAAGACCAAGGTTCCATGCAACAGAAAAAGAATGACGTCTTAAAAACTGAAGTCAGAGTTGGTGCTTTGCTTAAACTATGGGCTCTTTTAATGGAAATAAATAAAAAATACTTGAAGAATTAGCTTTAGCCGTTAAACTCCAACTAGAGCATTACTCTATAAAACAAATAAAAATTCTCACCAATAAAACCTTGAAAAAAAGAATTTAGAATGTCTTAACTTTTCTATTATCTTTTTCCTCCAAAACTCTAGAATTCACAAATGTGTTTAGGCATGCAAAATAAAAGAGAAACAAATGAAGGTATAACAACACTGGAAAGAGGGCTCTGTTGAAGGCTTTACCTAGTTGTCAACTGGAATTCTTATTATCTGTTTTATTGAAATAATATAAGGAAGTACCAAAATTAGAACATACCTTGTCATGTCCTGAATCTCCCCCTCTGACAATATCTGGTGCCATGTATTCAATAGTTCCACAAAAGGAATATGCTCTTTCAGTCTTGAACAAACAAACAAAAAGGGGATTTGATATCAAGCTAGTATGACAAGCGTCCAAAAGAGAAAGTTAACAATATAGGTCACCAGTTGAGATGCAAAGCAGTGGTAGGAATCTGCTTCCCAGGGCAAACCATCATCTACATAGTAAGAGTCCTGGGTAAATGTCTTCTCAGAATGACTTCTCATGCCTGAAACTCTACCTTCATCCATCCATCTGTACAGCAGTCCATTTTTCATGCTTCGTCATTTTCTTGTTTGTCTTTCGGCATATACTTATGTCAGTTACTGGTTTCTGTAACCATTCTTTTTTAGGAATGCGTACAATCCCAAGAGGTTAACATGAATTCTCTAATACTTTAGTATGAGTGATTTTATTTCAAGTAGGCAAGATTGAGAAAATGCTGGGAAAATTGAAGGAGGAAGATCAAATGCTGAGGGAGAACAGGGAACTAAAAAAATGAAAATACGACGAAAAAATTTTTCTCCCTAATCATCTTGCATAGGTTTGGCACTGTTAATGGTATATTTCAGTGATGATGAACAAAACTATCTTTAAAACAGCCAGACTGTCTCTTAAAGGTAGTTGTTTCACTTTCAGAGAACTTTAAAAATTCAAAAGGGCTAATTTAATATATCAGACCTAAACGTTAATTTTTAAAATTTAACTGATTTTAAAGTGACTGACTGATTCATCCCAACACAATAAAGGAGAATAAATATCTACATGATTATATATACATTTTGAATAAGAAGAAAAGAATTCCTGCTTAGTAATATACACTCAAATGGCTATATCTGAAACTTTCAAGGGTATTTTGGTGCCATTAAAATATTTCACAAGAATAATTTAACAAAATGAGTATTTTTTATAGAAAGCTTTCTAGTTTACATTTTATTCTTCTTTCATCAACAAGATTTTGAGAAAAATACCATTCCTTTTTATTAAAATTTTAACCACAAAGAATACTGTTCTATCAATGTCACAGAAGTGGTAGAAATCCTGTTTTATTGACTCAACATCAAACAAGCCCACAGAAATGACTGTGATGCGTTCATTTAAACACCATAAATTAAAACTATTAATTGAAATGTATACACATATAAATAAAAACTAAAGTGGTATGGTTTATGATTAATTTCCTTTTTTGTAACATTCTGTATACACTGAAAGACTACTATTGCCCCTAGAAACTAAACAACATAATTCAAATATCTTAGTACAGGACATTTTCTTTTTTGTTGGCTGGCCGAGTAATGCTATTGAATGGTTCATATAAATCACACACCACATGTCACTATCTCTCTGCTTTATCACATCAGGACTAAATGCTAATGCTGTGTAAACTACTGAAAAGACTAAAGCTAAATAAAATTGATTTGACAAATTTGTGTATAAAAGGCAATGAATCATTTTTAAACATTTTATTGGACATGATCAGACAGACAAAAATGCGTATTAGGAAGCATTCATCCATTCACTGAATTATTAACGAAGAAATACTTCAAAAATAAATTTTAAAAACTTCTACACTTCTTAAAACTAAGTGCTTTTAATAAATACATTACTTATTATGCAGTAGCTCTATTTTAGACATGAAGCAAAAATCACTGTATAACGAAGATACAGAATCACATACAATTTACTTAACACTTGATGACATCTTCTAAGATACCTTTAAGAAACTGTTCAAACATCCTATCTTGAGTCAAGTCTTGGCTGTAATGAAAAAAATTCTCTAAACTACGAATAAAAAATGAAGAGTTCTGAGGTATTACTTTTCTACATTTTTATATATGTACAGAACTAATGCAAATACAAATTTTATTTAGGCAGCTTCAAGTCACATATTTTGAGATTATAAAAATGTCCTCAATATGAGACAATAATTAAAAATTTCAAATTAAAAGTTATGTTCATGAATAAGTTTGGTTTTAAAGTATATAAAATATACATATCACTTATTTTTACTAATCCTTGACCCAAGGAAAAGACTAACAATGTGTGTTAAAATAACAATAAAAATATTATCAATCAGAACTTGTAGAACACCTAAAAGCTGTTCTTAGAAATTCAGTCTTATTTTAAAAATATTAAACATCTGTGATCTAGGTGTCAAATTCCAAAATTTAAAAAAAATTTTGAAAGGAGCAAGGTAAAAGGAAGAAAGGAACTGTTCAGAGAAACGGAGAAAAAAATTCATAGGTCTGACAAACACTGTTACAAAAGACTAATAAAACTGACAAAACTAGGAAATTTATCAAGAGAAGTCACAAATTGATAATGATGGTAGTTTAAAAGGGAACAGTACTAGAGTTACAGTAGAGATTTTATAAAATAAGGAAATTCTATCATCAAATTGATGTCAAAAATTGAGGAAACCAACTTTCTATAATAATATAGTAACCAAAATTGATTCAGGAAGAAATTTATACACGAAGGAACAAGCATGCACACATATACACACATATTATGTACATTTGGAAAAGGAAAATGAAAAAAGAAAAGAAAAGAAAAAAAGAAGGAGAATGTGAACAGCCATGATGACTATAGAAGTACTGTACATTCACCCAACTTCCCAGGAACAGTATCTCTGTTACATCATCTATGTATTTCAAATGCATTTTATGGTATTATTAAGTCTTGATACCAGAATCTGACAAATGCAATATTAAAAAATTATACATCAATTTAGACAATAAAATATTAGCAAATGAAAATCAGCAATGTGTAAAAAATACATTCTAGGAATTCAAAGATGGTCTAACATGAAAAAATAAAAAGGTTATTAAAAACTAAGAATATAATTTATCAAAAATCATGAGTAAGTAGAATTCCACATGGCTAAAACATACGTACTTTAATGTTAAAAAAGAATATATACCTATGCATACAAAGCTTAGTAGACAAAGCAATAAAACCTCATACTCTTCAGACAAAAAGGTATGAGAGTTGAACAGAAAGCTATCATTACTTACAAATGGTGGTTTCGATTTTTCTTTTAATATAGCTATTGACATAAAAATCCAAGTGAATCTGTAAATTAATCTAATAAGAATTCTGTAATTCCAGTTAGGTATAAATTCAATAATGTTCCTATGTTTAGATAAGAAAATATAAATATCTAATTTTAAAAAATAATACTAATGATTGGAACAAAAATGCTAATAGATTAAATTAATGTATTCATTTATTAATTTATTTTTGGGTACCGGGAATCAAACTCACAACCTCATGCTTGCCAGGCAGGTGCTGTGCCACTGAGCTAATCTCTGGCCCTAATGGAATAAATTTAATGATATACCTATAAAACAATATGAGAAAAAATTATAAAATATTTTTGGAGGATATAAAAGGAAACTAAATAAACAGGAAGATATGAATATTCACTGGTGAAAATTCATTAATTAAAAATTCAGTATCCAAAGATTACAGTTCTCTTCAAATTAATTTATAAATCTGATTCCACAATTTATGTGGAGAAACAAAAAGCCAAGAGTAGAAAACAGTGAAAATACAGGAGGAAAGTGAAGAAAAAGGAGAAGGCAGTCAGAGAAGGGTAAAGAGGGACAAGGTGTGACCTTTCCAGGTTCAAGTCTTACTGTGAAGCTAGAAGCTTTAAGGTAATTTTGGTTTTGATACAGGGAGACAAAAAAGACAACTGGAATTCAATGGATGGCCTAGAAAGAGACTCATAAGCATACATGGCTTGGTTATATGAGAGAAGTTGTATCTCCAATCAGAGAAAGGATTACATGAGCACTTAAAAGGCATTGGGTTATCTTTATAAAAAATAAAGACTCCCACCTGACTTTACATACTAAGCATAAGACCTAAAACTATGGAACTAAAAAAACATACGGAAAGCTTCATGACACGGGATGTGGCAATGATTTCTTGCATATGACACCAAAAGCACAGGCAACAAAATAAAAAAAAAAAGTGAGGCGACATTAAACTCAAAGAGGTCTGGGAATAAAAAAAAAAAAACAGCTGAAAAGGAACTTACAGAATGACAGAAAATATTTATGAATCATATATTTGACAAGGAGTTAAATTCTAAGAAACAACAAAAATCTGATTAAAAATGAGCAAAGGACTGATAGGCACTTCTTTAGATAATATATGAATAGCTAATAGTATAAGAAGATGCTCAACATCACTAATCATTAGAGAAATGTAAATCACAATTACAATGAGATACCAACTTACATCCATTAGGATAGCCACTATGAAAAGACAACAAAAATAACAAGTGTTGCCAGGGTATGGAATGCCTAGAATCTTTGTGCATTGATGGTGGGAATTAAAATGGTGCAGCTGCTATGGAAAACAGCATGGATGTTCCTGAAGAATTTACAAAATAGATTTACCATCTCACTAGTGAGATACAGCAATCTCACTTCTAGTGTATACCCAAAGCAGGATCTTGAAAAGATATCTGTAGGACCAATATTCACTGCAGCATTATTTCCAGGAGCCAAGAGGTGGAAGCAACCCAAACATCTATCAATGGATGAATAAATAAAACAAAATGTGATATATCTATATCTATAATATATCTCATATACATATACATACCATGATATATACATATATATGATGATATATTATTTATCCTTAAAAAAGGAAACCCTGTCACATGCTACAACATGGATTAACTCCAAAGGTATTATGCTAAGTGAAATAAGCCAGTCACAGAAAGGTATATGCTATATGATTCCACTTACATGAAGTATCTAAAACAGTCAAACTCATACACAGAAAGTAGAATGGTGGTCGTTGGCACGGGAGATGGGCTATATTCCATTGGCATTAAGTTTCAGTTTAGCAAGATGAAAATGTCCTAGACATCTACTGTACAGCAGTATGAATGGCATTAACATGACTGAACTGTACAGTTAAAAATGGTTCAGATGGTAATTTTGTCACAATTAAAAGTTAAAAAGATCGAATAAATATAAACCCTAATAGAAAAATTAGTAGATCTAATGATAGTAAAA